GTCTTTAAAAATAACAGTTAATTTCTTAAACTTTGTGGAAGGCATTATCTGAAAGATGAGTGAAATTAAAATCGATTATAAGAAGAGGCGGAGAAGCAGGAAGAACGGGAGAGAGAGAAAAAGAGAGAGTAGATGAGAGGAGGATGTGAGGGAAGGAGGAAGGGAATAAACACAAGTGTGGTATGGGGATAGTCTCAGAGGACCCTGGCTAAATTCTAGCCATTTCCACTGCTTGCCTTCATACTCCGAGGGTGTCTTGTCTCCTCTCTCCATCTCTCTCATCCTTCTGCACCCTGCCTTCTACCCCTGTTACTACAGTGAAGCGGAAGAGAGAGGCTGGCAGGCTTGCAGGAAGCCAGGTGCCAAAGCCACCACCACCACCTGGACGTCAGCTCCACAGATCTAGAAACACTACTTTCCCACATCACTTGCCTCCAATTCTGTTTCTCTGTCCAGAGGCTTTCTCCAACATAGCAGAGGATTTCTCTACCTGTGAGTAGGACAACCCAAATGTGTAGGGCATTTAACCCTCAACCAATGAGGGGCAGATGTCTGTAAATAGAAAGTCCATCTTGACACAAGCCTTGGTGGGACACTTCTGAGGGGCATTCCACATGGTTCCTCAGTGGATCCAAGTGGGATTAATCCCACTGTCCACAGCAGTACTTCTCTCACTAACATGCCCTTCTGGAGCTTCTCATGCTTCTCTGCCTCATTTTCCCCTCTTGCTCTTACTTGTGTATCCTGGAACTGTTTCCCAAATAAATAGCTGTTTCCATGTGCTCATCTCAAAGTCTGCTTTCAGGTGAAGGGAAAATAAAACACTCGGCTATCCCTGTCTTGACATTAGCTTTCTGTGAAATATTATTAATAATTCAATTCAATTAATAGTAATAATTATAATATTAATAATTAAAGCCAAAGAAAGTTGACGTTCTTGAGGGTTGCCACTGCCCTGACGCCTCATTCTGAGTTCCATCAGGGAAACGGAACCTCCCTGGGCTTCCATGTAGAAGAGTTCTTACTAAAATCCAGCATATGACAAATCGTCATCCAGCTTGGATCACAGAGCTTCAAAATATTTTATTATTCTGCACACACCTCACAAGAATAATTACACTTTCTGTAGCAAGCAACACTGAGTTCTGTGTTTGTGAAGAATTCTGTTTCCTTGACTTCTTTTAAATAAGCTGAAGAAAGAGATAAAGGAAAACACCTACTGAAGTACCTCTGTTGCGCTTTTTTTCTGGTAACTTAAACCTGAGTAAGTATAAGAAAAAAATGGAGGAAAAAGTCTTTAAAAATATGTTTGGCTAACATTTCTTTTATAATACAAGTATTGACTGTAATTGTTGCTTAAAGTTTCCTAGGTATCCACATTTTGAAATTTCCAATAGCATAAACATAATTTATCTCTTGGAATTCATTGCTGATACAGTTTTTGGAGTTGTATCATTTATTTAGTTTCCTAATGTAGAATTTCAGAGTACTTCAGACACCAACAGCTGACAGGTCCTGAGGACGAGTGAGCTTACAGAAGTGTCAACTAGATGTTATTATAAGATACACATTCTCAGGGTCCAGTAACACTAACAGACAGACAAGAATAGACTATTCGCATGTTATGTTCTGGCATCAACGCTCAGCTGCCAAAGTTGATCACATGGGAACAGGTTTTCTTTACAGAAAAAAATGCCTTGAAGCATAGAAAATTATTTGAAGAAGAACAGATGCCCAAATATAGCACTCATATTCATCAACCATAACAAAAAAATGTATAAACCAAGATTCCTACACCAAAGGAACATAGTTATACTCTTACTTGCTGACAGTCATTATTAAAATATGTAAATTATTTGGTGGTCAAAAGAAATCTGCTCTTCCTACCATATACTGAGTTCTGTGGATGCTCATCTTGAGTTTCATGCTGCAAGACAGTAGTATAGGTTGAAAGTCTAATGACAATGTCCTCTGGATAACATGAATTCTTGGATAAGCCTTGTTTTAAATTCAATGCTATGAAAGAGTATATCCACTACAACATAAGCTGGTGACCATGAGGTCACTATTTGTTCACTGATGAGGTCCCAGAACTGAGGTACTTGGCACTTAGTAGGTACTTAATAAATATTTTTGAATGAATGAATGACAGCAATGCCCCAATATATTTAGGCTCTCATAATATAGTATTGCAAAATATACTAAAACGAAGGTCTCATTAAGGCCACAGTTTGGTCTTAAAACCATGAGCGCTGAAATATGTCCTGGGCTTCCTTCACAGAATTTTGCACAAACAAGGGCCTTATACAAATAGCAAGTTATTTGACCCAGAACAATTTACTCTACTCTCTATGTAACCTGCCAAGTCCATGGGCAATAACACAGAGTGGAAAATGTAAAAGCCCAAATAATCCACTTCAGGAAAGAAAATAAAAGCTCTCCTCCATCTCAGCCCATCGCTTAATAATATAATAGTATTGGAATCGGGAACATCTCACCTCACATGCCCAAATATTTTATCCTGTCACGCACAGGACATTCTGGAACAAGGTATGAAGAATTGATTCCATCCCTTCTCACATTCCCTTGTAGCAACACCCACTAGCCCTTCCTCTGCTAGAGCTTTCCAAGAAATTCTGTAGAATTTGACAAGGATCCGAGAAATACCTGGCTTTACCCAGGATTTGGGCAGAGATCTTTATTTCTCAGAGCCAGTCATCGGGTGTAATTTCCTCCAGGAGCCTTTCCTGATTCCTTCTAAGCTGGCTAAGTCACCCTCCTCTCTGGGATTTTAACATAATGTTTCATAAAGGATGTCATTTCTGCTTTAAGAAACTGTTGTCCACAACCTCATGATGCACCAGAGTTGGTCAGGATCTTGGTTCCAGGTTACAGAAATCCAAATAGAATTAGCTTAAGCCAAATGAGGAATTTATTATAAAGATACCAGCAGGTCTCTTGGAGGCTGCACACGGGAATGGAATGAATCTAAACTTTGAGAATGCACGGGATACGAACTCAGACTATCGGGAAACTCACCTCTCACCTCTGTTCTTCTCTCACCAGCTTCTTTTGCTTTTCTGGTCCACACGGAGCAAAATATGACTGCCAAAAGTGTCAAAATGCACGTCTGTATACCCCACGAACCCAAAGAAGAGTAACTTTATTTCAAGTTCCCAGTTTCCCTGGGAATGACTCCAATTGGCCCAATTTCATCAAGTGCCCGCCTTAGACCAACCAAACGCAGCTGGAGGTGGGAGCTGAGGTTAAAAAATATGGCCAGGCTGTTGGACAGACAATCTCATAGGTGTCTACCACACCTCCAAATTCTTTAGTTTCGAAGGAAAACACGTGGTCAGAGTAGACTATTTCAAACGTATTAATGATAGTTGCTATAATATATAAGGTTTTTTAAGGCAATAGTGTTCAAATTTATTTCTATTAATAATTCATGGTAACAATAGAAAATTCCTAAGTAAACATATTTGCTTTGTTTTAAAAATAAATTTATTTTATTACATGATAATACTGACAGTTTACATAAACAAGGTCATTTAACGTAGGCAAAACAATTATAAAATACATTTTGAAAAGATACGAAAATCTCTGAAGTACTTTCTTGGTAGTTCGAGCTACCAAATTTCAAGAGACACCATTAATATTTTAGCATCAAAAGAAAATTCCCAAGCTTGAATTGTCTTGAGAGAATCCACTGGTCAACCAACCTCTGTTTGTTTCAAGCACTCTTACTATCAGTGAAGACTGAGAAAGAGAAAGAGCGTGAAGGAGCTCAGAGGAGGCTTTTGAAAATAAAGTGTATACAACATGGATTGGTTGAAACTGATCCTATTTCAAGAGTGGTCACTCTCAGGAGAAAAAACGGATTTAGAAAATTATCAGTTGTCTCCGTTAGCTCTCATGGATATTTGAGCTATTTCTGTGTTCTACATAAGCACAGCCTCAGTCTCACTTGAAACATGACATGTGATAAAAGGTGATAGACAACTTCACCTTTTCTCTGAATTCTCTGATTCACTTTGGGTGTGGAGTCTACACTGCAAAGTAAAATTGACAAAGATTCTGGAAAAGCTGCTTTTCTGACAGGCACAACAGCCAAAGTGTAGCAATTTGAGGACATCTCATCATTTTTTATAAAAAGGTAGGAAATTCCATATTCTATGGAATATTGGCTCAATGTGCATTCTGCTTTTTCAGGTTTAAAAAGAATCTTTATTAACCGTAATCTGGAGTTGAAGGAGCATTTGGCAAGATGATCCCAAGTGATAGATGACTATGGTCATAATTTGATTGCACCAAAATTCACCTGAGAGCAATCACGGGTACTGTTTTCTTAGAAGAACAAATGAGGGTATGGTCACAGCCAGTGTCTGCTTGGGCTCTGCTGTACTGTCACTGACCATTTACCCCGGGATACATAGCCTCTTCCAGTGCTATTATCTATCCTTTAGCGAGCATAGACACTTACCTGGGGCTTAAAGACTTCAGGCATTTACTTCCCATCTCTGCTCATTACCCTAGCTATGGGGCAAATCTGTTTGCTTTAGAAATGTAAGAATGTATGCATATCACTGAGAATTTATAAAGGAGCAAAGAAGCATAATGAAAGTCAAGACTATGGAAAGCATGATGGTAACAATAACATATATCCAGGACTCTGCATTCTGAGTTTCTGCAGGAAAATGCACCAGTGTCTCAGAGTCATGGCAAAACACAGTTTAGTGTGAAGTCTTGGGTTATATTGTGAGTTAGGTTGCAACAACTCCAATGAAAAAAAATGATGGTTAAGAGCACAAACTTTGAACTTGGGTAAATCTTGGTTCCAGTTTCAGCTCTACTTATTCCTAACTCTGTAAAACTGGGTTAGATTACTTAACTTCTTAGGGCTTGTTTCTATACATGAGAAATGAGGATCATAGAACCTTAAAAGAATTAAGGAAATAATGTATTTCAAACTCTTAGCACATAGTAAGTTTTGGATAAATAGTAGCTTTATTATTAATTCAATTCCTCGGATCTAAACTCCTTCCTACTCTTCTTTTTTGTTTGACTAGTAATCCCGGTGACAAAACTTAAGTGGAAGTTTATTAAAATTTCCCTTCTTAACTGGGTGCTTTTCCCAAATACTATATAATAATAAAATTACTTATTATTATTATATAAACAACACAAATTAACATTACAAACAAAAAGTAAATACATTATTTAAAATTCATTTTGCTAGCTGTTTTCCTGAGACACAGTCTGTCCATTTTCAAATGAGTAAGGTATTTTGTAGCTTGCCACCAGCCTGGAGGTACCTTCATAGACTGCAGGAAAAAGGAAAAAAAGAGCAAGCCATTGAAAAGAAATGTACTACGTAATTACAAAAAATATCTAGAGCCAGCATTTTTGTTTTCAATTCATTCGTGTCATTCTGGTAATAAGTTAGGAGAATATTATAATTTCTTGATAAGCATTTACTATGCCCTATTAACCTGCTGGGCATTCCTGGGAAAGGAGATTCTTTGCACTGTGGGGCGAGCTATAGAAAGTCACCTTTCTCACTTGCTGGGTGGGAACAAGAAAGCATGTGGCCTTGATTGTTACCAGCCTCTTCTATGACCTAAGAGGAATTAGCCAAAGATGAAGCCAACTCTTCAACTGGTGAACAGAAGGACAGAAATAATTGTTCTCTGCATGGGAACTCTGGTACAAGCAAGTGTGAATGCTACCTTCCCTCTGGACTGCCAGTGCATGTGAGCCAATACACTTCCTTTATTTTAAACTAGTTTGGTTGTGCTTGATGCCTTACAGACAAAACTACCCTGTCTGACTGAGCTAGTTATGCTCCGTCTGCCCCCTTGAGTCTTCCTCTGCGCTGCTCCGCGCTCCGGGGTGGGGCTGACCTACAGATTGCATCACAAGGACTCCCTTGTCCTCTGGATTCTCATTGAGTTTGGCTAGTGGGAGGCACCTGCCAAAGATCTGAAGGCAAGAGGAGAGAAGGTTTGGGGGCATTTTTCTCCACTTCCTGCCTCCTTCATTGTTTAGGTGCCAGCTGTGGCTATTTCCATCCACAGCTACAGCTCCTGCCTGATGGGGTCTTCCAGCACAGCCAGATTCTCAATGCCAAGGTAACTCTTCCCCAGCATTACAGCCTCCTGCAATTGCTAGACTCTGGGAGCCTCAACGTTCCTATGGGTGCCCTCATCCCTGCACTCCCAGCCCCTTCATCGAAATGTCTTTTTTTGGATCATCCGAGAGGATTTGTGATTCCTGCTGAAATCCCAAATGATAGAATATTTAAAAGAGCTTAGAACAGTGCTTGGCATGTGGTAAATGCTCAATAAATGCAGTTATTAAAATATTGCTCTTGTTATTTCCTTTCAGTGTGAGATGTCTAAACTAAAATTCTTCTTTCTTGTGATATATTGGAAAAATATATCAAGTATCTTATAGTATTTTATAAGAATATAAAATAACGACCACAGCCATGCAGAACTAGAAAGCAGACTGATCTCAGTACGTTAGAAAAAGTATATAAAAGTCCACATTCTATCTCTGTGGTAGAGTGACATCCAAAAGAAAGATATGAGAAAGTCTTTTATTTGGCTTCAGATTCTATGAAAAAAAAAAGGCAATTTATTTTAGATGTTTTTAAACATAATCAAATTCCAAACAATGATTTACTTGATGTAGTTAAGCCCTACTTCACCAGGTAAATGTCACCTGTTCCCCATCCACCAAGTTTATCACACTTACCATTAAGCAATACTAGTCTCTTGAATGTCATCATTTATAGGAGTTATATCTTTACCTAGAGTTTCCATTTCTTCTTCCTTCTTTATTCTTTCTCGATGTTTCCGAAGAGGACTTGGAAAACAAAGCGTTAGAAATTAGTGTGGCCCTATTAGTTAATGCAATCACAAAATTAATCAAGAGAGCCTATGATCTTATTTCTAGACTGTTAAAAATGTATAGGTTCCTTTTTTTAAAAAATAAAATTTAGGTTCTCTCTTTATCCATCCCTTTCTCTAGGCTCACATGATAGCTACAATAGCATCAGTGTGGATAGGGTGTAGTTATAGATACATAGGAAGAATATGGTACCTAATTGTTGATAGATCTTGGTGAGCACAAGAAACTTTTTCAGGCCAAGCCATTTTACAAAACAGGCTGATAAGTATTATTTAATGTGTAAATAAGAAATAGTACAAAATGGAAACAGACATAAGAAAACCAAGAGAGTGAGGGTAGCCTCTGGATATGTTAATTAAGTTTCTAGATATACTAATTAAGAAGTGTGTTAGATATTCTGGGCTGCAGTCCAGTTTTCTTAAAGTAAAATTAATGTAATAAAACAGGGCATTTCCCAGCTCTGCCCCAAACTTGGCCTTATAAAAACTCCTTTTTGCCATAAAGTAGGTAAAATTTTAAAAAATACCTTTCAATTTTATACCTAGGAGGAATCCTACAGATTATTTGGTTTAATCCTCTGTCTTACAGAAAATAAAATTAGAGTTTAAAGAGGTTAAGAAACTTGTCCAAGGTCTCAAAGATGTCTAATGACAGAGCTGGGACAAAAATCACTCTAGACTGCCGATAGCTATGCTAATGCCTTTCTACCCAGAATGTTGTAAAGAAAGGAATCATGCAACACCCTCCTCTAATAAATACCACAGCCCGAGGGTAAGTGTAACAGTTTAGGAGGCTTCTCAAGACAAGAAGGTAGCATTTTAGAAAATGCCTTTTTAGCATGCTATGTGGGAGTCCTGGCCTGATAAAAAATTCGATGAGTTTCCAAAACTAACTTAAGAATTATACCAAGCCATTCTGTCTCAGAGAAAAAACAAGGTTTTTCTTAATTACCAAAGATGAGGTATATAATGAAAAATAAAGACAGGAGGAACAGTGCAGTCATCTTTCATAAATAAAATTCATTATTTTAATGTGACCAAGAAAAAAATATTTTTGTTTGTTTCCATCTTTCAAAGTTGTTGTGTCATGGTACAGTTTAAGAAAATAAAAGTATTGTTTAGCCTATTAATAAACCCACATAAAATATGTGGACTTTAGGACTAAATAATTGACTTAAATTGAGATATAACTGATATATAGCATTGTATTCATTTCGGGTATGACTTGATATTTGTTTATATTACAAAACGATCACCACAGTAAGTTTAGTTAACATCCATCACCACACATAGTTAGAAAAGTTTTCTTTCTTGTGATGAGAATTTTAAGATCGCCTCTCTAAGCAACTCTCAAATAAACAATACTGTGTTATTAACTATAGTCACCATTAGTACATTACATCCCCATGACCTATTTATCTTACAACTAGGAGTCTGTACATTTAGGTCGCCTTCATTCATTTTGCCCACCTCCTTTTTTTTTAATTAGGAGATTTACATAAATTTTTATTTTAAATTATAATAATTATGCTCAGAAAATGACAAAAAGTATATGTCCTGTGTTTATTATAAATGCTTCTAAATAAATGATGGCAAAGTGTGAAAAGTGATTTAAATCGAAGCAAAAAGGAAAGAGAAAAGGTAGGAAGGAGGGAAGGAAGGAAAGAAGATAGGAAAGATAAAAGTTTTCAGATTCCCTTAAAATTAAATTTAAAAGTACTTACTGACAGCACGTGCAGATGCCAACCACCAAAATGATAAAAATTACCATAACTGCTATCAAACAAATCACCAAAATCTGCCCTCTATCTCCTCTTAGGTAAAACAAGTCAACTCTCTCACATCTCGCCCCAGCGTAGCCTTCATCACAGCTATAAAAGTGAAACAAGAAGAGGGCAACAAGGTCAAAAGTGAAAGACTTTTAAGAATCTTTACTGTTTCTTTTTGGAAGAAACTAACACTGTATTCATAACTTGGAATTAAGAAAGGGTGTAGTTCCTTAAAAAATGTTAAGTTGTAAAACCACTGTGTTCATGAGAAATTTCATTCTTTGCTGAAAACCTGTCATCCCTTGAACACCATTAATAATATGCCTAATATCAATAAACAGGGATGATAACAATTTACTAAAATCTGTCTTGAAAGGAAGGGGGTGATAAAATTCCCTACACAGCACTCCCAAGTGTTTAAATACCCCCAGAACAGGGAATTCAAAAAGCCCCAGGATTTCCCATTTCATCATAGGACAATACAAAGCGTTTCAGTGTGCCCAAATTCTCCTATTATCAATTACTTTTAAAGTATATGGTCTTATATGATCAAACATGGAACACATAGAAAGCTCCATAAATGTTATTCTACAGGATTTCTCTCCCCCCAACCCCTAGCCCCCTGGCCTCTCTTTTTAACTTCCATGCATCCGTTCTGGTTCTACTGCGTTCAGGAGTAACAGCTAGGTAACACTCTTCCCTTCACCACCTTCCCAACTGCATCCCCTCAAAATACAATAGGTCTCGTCCTCTCCAGTTCCTTTATCTGACCCTCTGAGGCCACATATTCAGAACTGTACACCATGCCCTCCACTCTCCTCTAAATGCCCCTTTTTCCTATGGCCCAAGTAAAGTGCCGTGACCAGAAATCAACAGACTCTCCAAACGGCACTATTCCCCCTCGCATTCTTCCAACTCCGTCAACACAGTCCTGAATTCACCTCAACTTAGCATATGTCCCACTTCTGAAGGTGCAGATACAGAGCCATTTGACCAAGCCGAGATTTGTCCAAGCAACACTCAACCCCCTACAGCTCAGTGATTTAGGGACCATCCATAGTATTCTCTGAATTGTGTAAGATGCATAAAAGATGACTAAGAAGTTTGTCTGAGGCTACTTTAAAACCAAAATTATGTGTTGTAACATCAACACCTCTGCACTAACAAATATTCTCCCTTTTTCTTCTCCTCAGACTCATTCAAAACACAAAGAGACACTGGTCATATACATAATTATTGAAATCTCAGAAAGATGAAGCTCTACTTCTTACAAAGATTCCTGTGCAACCTCATTTTTGCTTGTGTTTGTTTCTTTTATGAAAGGATCTATTGCCAGGCCACTCAACAGTTTATGTTTGATAAGAGCTAAGGCAATTAATTCCCACAAAGCTTTATTTCTCAAGTAAGGAGATCCCTTACTAGCTGGCAATATTGTAGCTGATACAACGCTTAAAAAAAAAAAAGCCTCGCTCAGTCACAACCATCAATTGAAAGGTGAGGCTCAATGCAAGCAAAGGAGCAAAAACACCTAATGCCATCTATTGCAAAATGACCCCAGGATGTATGAGGGAAAATTGCTTCCTGCAAGATAGCTAGGCTGTTCATTGCAAGGTCAAAATAACAGGAAGAGAGCTTAGAAATATCTTGAAATATCAAAAATCTTTTGCACATAGGACTGGAACTGGGGGGAAAAAATCACTTTTAATTGCATGTGTGGGAGGGAGGTCTTTAGGGTTTTGTTTTTTTTTTAAGGTTATAATTAAAATCTACAAATAGAGTCTCTTCCAATTAGCAGAAATGTTTCTCTAACAAATTTACTAAATACAGCATTTTTAAACAAATAACTGTGCCCATAAAGTACATAGCAATTACTTGCTGCTTTTAGAATGTTTCTCTAATTATAAGTTCTGGGTTCAGTTGCTCACCCATGCTTTAAATGAAGTTCTCAGTAAGCAGTCCTTCCTGTAAGTTATAACCCAATGAAGCCATGTAGCTGGTCAGACTCTTACACAGCCAGTTACAGTGGCTCTCCCATTGTTTCACTGCTCATCAGATTAATAACATATCAGCTGATGGTCATTTCAATGGGAGAGGAAGAGGCAAAGGGTGAAAGATGCTAGTAGATGTTTAATAAATGCTGAGCAAATGAATAAATGAGTTTTTATGTAATAAACATCTTATAAATTAAAAATAACATTTAAAGATGCTATGACCCTTGAGGACTCTGAAAAATCAGGATTTGGGATCGCTATTCAGAAATAATCACCAGACACTGTTCTAATAGATGTATAAGTATTAACTCAATTGATCCTTATAACAACCTTTGAAGTAGGTGCTATTATGAACCCCATTTGACAGGTGGAGAAACTGAGGTAAAGAGAAAATAAGTGAGTGGGGTTGGATTCAAATACAGGAAGTCTGGCTCCCCAGTTCGTGCACCCACCCACATGTAACACTACCTAAATGAATTGTGCCATGTAAATAAATCAGAGTTATGTACCTGGAAACAAACCATCTCCATTCCACAAAAATACTGAGAAGACTAAGAAGGGACTTGAGTTATTTGAAACACACTTTGGTTTTTTATGTAAAGACAGGAGTCCACAAACTCCTATGATCCCAAGCAAAAGGAGATATTTATGGTTTCCCAAGATAGCGTAATCACCAATTACAAGACAGCTTTGCTTGACCTGTGCTACACCAAGTCACCTAAAAGGTCAGGCCTAAGATGTATACTTCCCATTCACTTGAATGGTACAATTTATGGAACATTTACTCTGTGCTGGGTATCACAATAAGTACTTTTGCCTGTTGTATTATTTTGCTTAATTTTCAACACTTGAAAGGAAGATGTTATCTTCTTTTATAGATGATAAAACACTCAGGGGCTTCCCTGGTGGTGCAGTGGTTAAGAATTCGCCTGCCAATGCAGGGGACACGGGTTCGAGCCCTGGTCTGGGAAGATCCTACATACCGTGGACCAACTAAGCCCGTGCACAACAACTACAGAGCCTGCGCTCTAGAGCCTGCATGCCACAACTACTGACCCCTCCTGCCACAACCACTGAAGCCCATGCACCTAGACCGCGTGCTCGGCAACAAGAGAAGCCACTGCAATGAGAAGCCCGCGCACCACAACGAAGAGTAGCCCCTGCTCGCAGCAACTAGAGAAAGCCCGTACGCAGGAACCAAGACCCAATGTGGCCAAAAATAAATGTAAATTAAATAAATAAATTTATTTAAAAAAAAAACATTCAGGAAAGGTGACTGACCCATTGTTAATGCTGCTTATAACTGGCGGAAACAAAATCTTGACTTAGGTCTGTCTTGCTCCAAAACCTGAGTCCTGATTCGCGTATTCTTCCTCCTCCCCTTGATTTTTGTATCATTCCACCACTAAGAAGGTGTTCCTGGTTCAGATTAAGGTCTTGGATTTGACATCTAGTACAGCACTAGATGAACCATGACAGAGGGACTTGTTCATTTATTCATCAGACATTTCTTGCGCACCTAGTAAATTCTAGGCACTGTGCTTGGCACTGGAATATGAAAATGAATAAGCCATCATCCCTGGCCTCTAGGAGCCCACAGCCACAGAAAGGATGTCCAGAGAAATCAACAGTGATGCTCCGGGGAAAAAAGCTTTCACAGAAGTGTGACTGAATCACAGAGGAAGGACATCGAACTCAAATCAACGCAGGGGTCCAGGAGGAGCTGATGTTTGAGTTGTATCTTAAAGTGTCAGTAAGAATAAACTCTCAGACTATGAGAAGAGCTTGTCTAATAAGTCATGCAAAGGAATGTAGGATTATGGAAGAACATTGGGGAATGTGGTGACAGACATGGCTAGAAAGTCAAGCCAGCATCAGAGAAGCTAGGGAGAAAATGGGTTTTAACGTCTGACTGAGGGGGACAGGCTGTGTATTGATCTCAGGCAGGTAGATTACACCCTGTGGTTTTCATTCTAGAAGGCAGCAATATTAAAGAACAGTACATCTACAGACATAGGGACCAGTTAAAGAAATGTACTGGGTTAAAGGGCATTAATCTTTTAAAAATTCATGATATTCTCCCAAGTCAGTGAGCAATTAAATGAATTTTTTTTAAAAAATCAACTCCTGGACTTCCCTGGTAGTGCAGTGGTTAAGAATCTGCCTGCCAATGTGGGGGACACAGGTTCAAACCCTGGTCTGGGAAGATACCACATGCCGCGGAGCAACTAAGCCCTGCACCACAACTACTGGGCCTGGGCTCTACAGCCTTTGAGCCACAACTACTGAGCCTGTGCGCCTAGAGCCCGTGCTCTGCAACAAGAGAAGCCATGACAGTGAGAAGCCCGCGCACCACAATGAAGAGTAGCCCCTGCTCGCCACAACTAGACAAAGCCCGCACGCAGCAACAAAGACCCAACGCAGCCAAAGATAAATAAATACATTTATAAAAAAACAAAAATCAGCTCTATCTTTCCCAACACATGCACATTTTCCTTATTTCCTTACATTAGTCTTTTTTCTTATTCCCCTCTAAGTATTATCTGTGTATATTGATTTTTTAATTAAATTTAATTATAATCAAACTTTGAAGAAGTCCATGACTCTTCAATGTTCCACTATATCAGGGCTTGGAATCACTGTTCTGAGATACTTGTGAAAAAAAAAAAAAAAAGAATACTAGGGCCACTACACAGAAGAACACCAGCGCTCTATGACTTGAGGTCAAAAATATACTTAAGAAATCACCTTGCTCCTCTACGAGGCAGGGTCTCAGGCAGCACTTTACAGAGACATCTTTAGAAGAAAATAAATATTTAAGATATGCAAAAAATTTGTTTGTGCCTGAGTAAAATTAAACTTGGACTCAATCTACCAAGAGTTGGAAAGAGAACTTTCCTCCCAGTTCCCTGCTGTACTAAACAAGCTTTGTGAATCTCTGAAAATAGGACTGATTTCCATGCACTTAATTGTCACCTGCAAAAGTAGCTTGTAATTTGGCAGAAATTCTTTCATATTTACATTCACCATGAACCACCTAACACACGCCAGAAGACTGTGTTTGCATTCGAGTGCAAGAAACCCCTGGGAGTTTATTTGAGCTGAAAAGCATCCTTAACACTGGACAGAAACAGTTTTGCTTGCGCAAGGCAGCAGAAGACACAGCCCTGCCTGGAAGGCGATCTGGACTCTCGCATGCTCATATTTCAGCAGGAAAGTGTGCGTCAGTTTCTCCATAAGTAGCTGTCCAACGGGGCCCCTAAACAAGCGGCGCAGGGAGCGGAGGGGGTAGGACCAGGGGGAACTGCATCCCCAACAGATGGCTGGATTAGCTCAGACTTTCCAGTCCTGTCACCCCCCAAACCGGCACCAGTCTGTACCCCTTTGCTTGTCGGCTCAGCGCTTCACTTACACGCAGGAGGGCGTCTGCTCGGCCACCACGAAGCGACATCTCCCTTTAATGCAGTAATGCTTGTACTGTTTGGGGCACCGAGAGAAGTGGCCTCTTCGCTTTGGCTGTGTGGTCGTAGCTGAAGAATGAGAAATGATTCAATAAATCAACTCACTTTAAATATACATTTGTAAGTAGAATCATATTCCTAACTGTGCTACCAGTTTTTCTGTGGAATATACTCCAATCTCTCATTTCTCCTTCTCCCCACACTGGCATATGTCGGACTTTTGTGACCCGAAACTAGCCCTAGAGATTGGCTAATGGGGATTGTGACAGGAACGTCTCATATTCTAACTAAGATTTCTGTCCAAACTACCTCTCAGAAACGTTAGTGTTGTTTAAAGCGTAAAGCATAATTGTGGTAAGAGAGAAGCCTCTTCTTTCCATGAAGATTGTCAGAGACATGGGGCTGATGGCATTGAAAAGAGAGGAGGGTTTTTTCCTTTCTTTTTCTTTTTTTAACTTAAACACAGCACTTAGTGCCAAATGCTGGTCTGTAGCTTTACAGAGAGAGTCATCCCTCGGTATCTGAGGGGGATTGGTTCCAGGACCGCAGGTGACACCAAGATCCGCAGATGCTCAAGTCCCTTGTATTAAATGGCATTTACAGTCGGCCCTCGGTGTCCCCCAGTTGGGATCCGTGGTTGGTTGAATCTGCGGATGCAGAACCCGCAGATTCGGAGGGAGGGCTGTATTTACTCATTTCATACTCAAAAGAGGCTTGTGAGGGAAGCACTGTTCTAACTGCTATTTATGGATGAGCAAAGCACAACTCAAAGCGGCTAAATCACTCTCCCAGATCATGCAGCTAATATGTGGCAGACCTGGGACTCAAACCCAGGCAGTCCTGTCCCAGAGTCCATGCTTCTGCCTGCTCCACTCTGGTGCTCTGTCAGGCAGGTAGCTGTCATCTGCTCTCAGCCTGCGGCACCCAGAAGTCCTGCTTCTCTGAATGGGAGATTATCCCTCTCATCTGACCCCTGGAGGGTTTCTCTTGCCCTGAAGGAGGAAAACACTGTAAGCTTCATATCCAGGATTTCACTCCTATGCTGACTTCCTTGTCTTACCTTTCAGAATCTTAATTGCCTAATTTTTCAAAGTTAATTTTTCACCAGGGGGTGTAATATGGAGCGATTTCTCCATCGTTTACGTGTAGAAAGTTTCAAGAAACAAGGATTGTCAAGAGAAACAGTAAAGAAATTCTAACTAGCTGTTCCATGTGTTGCTTCACAACAGACACCCAGAGAAAACTGCTAACTAGCCAGCTCCAGCCCAGGGTCGGCCTTTCCATAGTCATGGTATGACCGACAGCTCGCAGGACTCAGACACCTGTGGACCCAGAAAGCCTACAGTGGTCACTTCAGAGGGCATTTCACACTAGGTTTGGTATGGCGCCTGGCACCCCAATGACGTTACACAATCCCTTTATAATTAGCGGTGACTACTAAACTTCTTAATTAATATTATGAAATGAGTATATATACATACGTATACCTATATAAAAAAATTGCAAAGGACTCTGGATGATCTACACACAGCAAATTTCTGTGATGCCAGGTCACAGACTTTCGGAGGGTGACAGAATGTTGTTGAGGCACTGGCTGACCTGGTTTTGGTTGGTGACTTGATTACCAGCCATGCGGACTGCCTGTACGTGCCAGACATTTGCTCCCACGCATGCCGATCAATGGGGCTCTTAGTGAAATTTCTCGCAGAAAGAACTGCAAAATGTCTCAAAGGCAAAGATCTGTGTACTCTGGCAAATAAATTGATCAAATGAAGGTCAGCTTCCATCCATCAAGTACTTCCTCTTTCCATAGCCCTGTAGTAGGCATTGGAAAACATCAAAGAAATAAGAGATATCCTATCTAACTATCTACATTGGTACAATAGAACAAATTTAAGTCAATAAAAAGCAACAAACCAGTAAAAACAACCATAGTAACCATGGAAACATGGAAACAGTGGAAAAAATACTGGCTTAGGAGGAAGGAAATTAGTGTTTCATTTTCAGCTCTGCCTTTCATGAGCCCTATGGGTCCAGGCAAGCTAATTAAGCTGTCTGAGCCTCAGTTTCGTCATCTGGAAATTGAAGATGATAACATCTACCTTAAAGGGCTGTTGAGAGGCTCAAGTAAAAACTACATGTGGAAATTCCTAGCAAAGTACCTGGGACAATAAAGTCCTCGGTAAATGAGTTGATTCTAGAATCTTGAAAATCTTGACAATTCTAAGAGAAATCTTGTGCCAGTACAAAGAGGGCTTATCTAATTAAAGAAAATTTCTAGGAAATGTAGACGTTTTTAGGAGGAGGTGAGCAAGCAGTTGAGTTGTGGATAATGTCAAGAGCAAAAGCTCGGGGTTGGGAATATGCCAGCCTTATGCAGGAGGTGGGTGGTAGATTTAATGGCTGTGGAAGAGACCTGAAGGAGAGTAGCCAAGGATGGCTGTGAATGGAAGTCAGAGACCACAAATGTCAGTGGGCTGAAGTGTTTACCCTTGAAATACAAGGTGGGAGAGAGCTGAAGAAGGTTCTTATGGATTAAATTACATGAAATATGTAAAACCTAAACTGTGAAGTGTTTTATCAATGTATTAGACAGGAAAGTGCACAACGGATTAAAGTAGGAAGATGCCAAAGGGAAAAAGAGGAATCCAAGGCATATCCGAGCCATGCAGACATACATGATATAGACCTGGGGCAGGGAAATGGAGGGCAAGGAGATGAATTTAAGAATACATGATCAATAAGGACCTACTGTATAGCACAGGGAACTCTACTCAATACGCTGTAATAACCTGTATGGGAAAAGAACCTGAAAAAGAATATGTATAACGGAATCACTTTGCTGTACAACTGAAACTAACACAACACTGTAAATCAACTATACTCCCATAAAGAAGCAGTAAGACGTACTGACTTACTTGCTCCAGAAAGGTCTTTTCTACTTTGCAAAGCACACCTGACTTTAAATATAAGCCATATGGCTCTGTATCCTGAACTTTACTAATTCCTCTGGCTGTCACGCCCCTTTAAACATAGCCAGTCTTTTAATAAACACCATACGGAGCAAGATACCAGAGAGCGCCTTAACCAGCAGCTGCTGGATGCGGTGATTTGATCAGCCATGGTTCATCCAAGCAACACAAATCCATGCCAGGGAAATGTTTGCCAGGCCCTGTTTTGATTGCTCACAGAGTTCTCTCCTTTGTAAATAAGCATGCCCTTAAATATTCCCAGCATTATTTGGATTTAAAAACCCTTCCATGCCACCAAGCAGAAAATGTCCTAAGATTTCTCTCTGGAACTTTAAAACCTGGAAGAAAAATTAATCACACATACCGCGTTCCCCCCCCCCCAAAAAAAAACCCAAATGGGATCCTCTCTCTTTCTCATGGTAATGAGAAGGTTTATCATCATTCCCCCTTTTGAAATGCACCAAAAATTCCAGTTGCTTTCATCTAATAGTCATCAAGGTCACATTATCTGAACATTGAACAGCTGTGAAATCTAACATTTTCTGACTATCATGAGACCTGATGACATAGGGCAGGGGATGGCAAAATCTACCCTTCCATTCCAGAGGTGTTTACCAAGAAAAAGGAAAAGTTAATCTTATGACAAAAGAATGATTAGTCCCATGTATTGTGTTTCTCTTTTGAGAAGTAAATGGTATGGTCTTGAAAATGTAACAGCCGTGAAGATTTCCCTGATACTGGGGGTGGTGGAACTTAACTGATCTTTTTCCCTCCCACCTTACTCTTTTCCAACCCACATTCCTCAAACCAGAGCCTTCCTCTGGGAGTGAGTTTGTCCCACAAAATTGCTGGAGAAAATTACAGGTACCAGAGGATCAGATCGCAGCACAATCTTATAAGCAGATGGGCACCACAGGTAACATATCGTAAACTCTTCATGAGACACTGTATTTCAGAGATTCTACAACCAATTAAATAAGAAACCACCAGGGCTACTGCAGGTCAGTGATGTCAAAATTTGATTCTAAGAGTTAGTAAAAGGGATCAGGAAAAAGAATAGCTTTCACTGATAGTATGGGCAGATACATAGGAAGTGGTCACCTTCTTAGGGTCATATGAATAATTAGATGACATGTGATGGATTCCCTTGGGCCAAACTAAAGTGGAGGAATACAGCAGACACCCAAATAATCTAGTTTAAATATGGAATTTTCCTCAATTTGATGGATGCTTTGATTAAACAGTGTGATTCCTTAGTCTTTCTGTACATGGTTCTTATCCTCAAGCCAAAACAGGCTTTGTGATTAAAACTCTTCACAATTGATACATTAGGTTTACTTTTCAGAAAACCTTCCCTTATTTATTCCAATAATGCTCATGAAAAATCTATTTAATGATTTTGCAAATGATATTAATATCAGCAACTCTTCTGAAATCAACTCTAAGGGTAATACACAATTACTATGACAATGCTTTTTTGGTAAATCTCATTACAATGTTTATAACCTCTTGTATCTCTAAACCTTTAGTTAGATACATAGTTCAATCTCTGTGTAAGAGATTTAAAAAGGGATACTAAATTTTGAGATAGAAGTCCCACAAGTGTTATCAAGGAGAGAGAGGAAGGAAAACAAATACCTATAAATTCATCTTCTCACACAGATATCTGACCTAAAAAATAGGGGGAACAACCAGTGCACAGGAGAGTTCAAGTGGTCACAGCAGAGTCTGGAGAAACACTTCCTCCTATTCTATGAAGTACAGCCTGAGGCTTTAATATTCTAAGCATCTTCCCAATAAGGGTTTCTTCATTTTACAACCTTCTTAAGCCAGGAGGGGAGGAAGAAAGTTTTATACTTTTTAAGCTAATTTTCCTTCTTATCTTGCCAACTATCTCTGTGGGACAGGGGAATGTAAATTCATGATGCTCTTGAAAAAGTGCAAAATTGGAAAATTTTTTGTAATTGAGGATTCCCATTTGTCTTCCATTCAATGCAGTTTCCTGTAAAACTGTGAATTGGTCTGTTTCTCCAGGAAAAGAAGAATAAATCTCACAGATGTACTTATTACCTTCCTGGTTTACTAGGATATGCTTACACGGGGGGCCAATCAGGTCTGATCAGCATGTCTTTTAACCAGAAGGACTGTGCCAACCATTTCTGAGCTTACAGGAGTGAACCTTCACTTAGAGCTGCCCTTTTCATTCCAGCCCTTTAAAGGAAGAAAAAAGAATCCAGTATTGAGATTTGAGTGTATTTCATGTATCTAAAATTATTCATGGCTAGGAGACAAAGAAGAATCGACAGGGAAAAAATTGTATTTCCTTTTGTTTTTCAAGAGTGCGTGTGGAAAAAACAAACAAAAAAAAGAATGCATGTGATACCTCCTTTGCTCATTCTCCCCTGCTGGTTTGACCTCAGCTCCCCTAACCTCTAAATTCTGCAATGCATTGAGGCTCAATGCTTTCTCATCTCTTCTCCTCTCTCCTCTTAAAGTTTCAGTTCTGTAAGATAAATAATTTCTAGAGATCTACTATACAACATCGGTTGCCATAATTAATAATATTGTACTGTACACTTAAAATTTTGTTAAAAGGGCGGATCCCATGTTAAATGTTTTTACTACAATAAAAAATATAAAAATACATTTAGGAGGATGAAGAGGAAGATTTTTTTTAACACTGTCAATCATCAGATTATGGAATAATCTCCCAAAGGAAATGTGAAAATGCTGTCATTTAAGACGTTTGAAACCAGACTGAAGAAAAGCACACAAACACATAAAGTTGGCTTTGTCCTTCTCACTACATGGGTGACAAGACCCGCACAAGCATGACCTAACACAGCAATGGACTCCACAGACTGTGGGCACTCTCCAGACCACCCACTAGTGGGAGGGAAAGAAAGATGAAGGTTGGGCTGGAACTGATGACTCACATCAGGATGACTTGCTCAGCGTGTTCCTGGCTCAGTTACAACATTCCCAGGGTGCTAGGAAAGGAGCACTTACACCACGTCACCATACTCCCAGCTCAGAGAAGTTTCCAGGGAATACAGGAGGCTCTTCTCCACTCTGCCCTACTTTTGGAATTGGCCTGTGTTGTGTTTTGTTTTGTTTTAAAATAAGAAACAACTCCTGTAGAACACCAGACCATGCAATTTATAAAGGACAGACAGACCTTAGACCAGGAGTCAGCCAACTATGGCCCCAAAGCCAAATCTGGCCCACGGCCTGTTTCTCTAAATAAAGGTTTATTGGAAGACATCCAAGGCCATTCATTTGCATAGGTCTATGGCTGCTTTCATAGTTCAATGGCAGAGCAGAATAGTTGCAACAAAGACCGCATGACCCACAAAACCTAAATTCTTATTATCTGACTCTTTACGAAGGCTGATCCCTGCCTCAGACTACTAAATTTGAGAATACTAATTCAGGAATCTTCAAGGTAAAATATGTTTTAAAATTGTTGCCTTCTTCCCTTCTTCTAAGTTATAAAATAGAAAAAAATAATTTTTTAATTTGAATAGAATATGCCAGCTTTCTATGAATCTAGTCCAAGACATCACATGCTAGAGGCTGAAGCACACACACATCTACGATGCCCAAAATAGTATAATGATGAAGAACGGAAGCACTAGAATGAGAAAGACCTGAGCGCGAATCCCAGATTTGTGATATATCAGCTGTGTGACCTTTGGCAAGTTACGTATTCTTTCTAGCTTCACCTTGAAATAAAGTAAAAAATATTATCCAGCTCATAGGGTTCTTGCAAGGAGTGAATGAATTACTGTATGTAAAGCCCAGAGCCTGGTACATTAACATGTGCTCAAAAAACTACCTAGTTTTATGATTATTATATTATCAACAACTTAAAATTTAGGGGGGTCAAGTTTCTGAGGCTGAATATGAAGCTGATAAAAACAAATGCATCGCTTGTTATGCGTTACCTGGGCAATTTTCTCCACGATCTCCACAGAGAAGGCCATCATTTTCAGGACTCCTGGTTGAATTCCCATCTGCCACAACACAGTGGAGGATCACTAGACCTTCAATTTTAAAACAGAACCAAAACAAACATGAAAACTTGTTCAATGAAAATGTGCTCAATGTGAAAGCTTCTATCAAAGTCATGACGATTTATGAAAATAACAAGCCTGTGGCTCCCATTTCCAAGTCATTCTCCCGCAGCAGGGGAGGGCTACACAGGCCAGCGTGTCTCATTTTTTAAGCTCAGGGCTCAAGACAGAATTTTCAAGCCAGCATCACTTACATCTGACAAGCCCTGGCCCCTTAAATGAGGAGACTTGACCATAGTTGTGATGGAGCCTTATCCTACAAGCAGAAGAACAGAGGGAGTTCTCATCCAGCGGGTGAATACACTGATGAATTTCCAGGCAGAAGGGATGATGAACCTGTGTAGCAATGTATTTTCTCCATGCCACACGGACCCAGTGTTTTTCAGGTATAAACTGTTGAGTGTGCTTCTTTCTGGGGAGATGCGAACTAGATATTCAATTCATAGGAATTATTTAAAAATTTCAAATTCCTCCAGCTAAGTACCTCTGTCTCTGACAAGGACAGGCTTCATAGAAAGGCATGGGGAAGAGAGGAACACTGTGTTGAGGTTAGGACAGCTTAGAATACAAAGTGTAGTCCTTGCGAGGGTCCTGATTCAAACAAAGCAACAGTAAAAATCACTTATGAGATAATTAAGGAAATCTGACATTGTCTGGACATTAGAGAATATGAAGAAATTGTTACAGTTTCAAGTGTGATAATGATATTGTGGTTTGGATACAAAAAACAGAGTCCATATCTCTTAGAGATATGTATTTAAATACTTATTAAAGAAATTAATGAATCTCTGATTTGCTTTAAAATAATCCAACCAGGGAAGAGGGCTGTGAGGTAGTGAGGGAAAGGCATAGATGAAACAAGATTGGCCACATATTGGTAACTGTTGAAGCCGGGTGGTAGGTATATCAAGGGTCACTCTGCTGTTCTCTCTACTTTTATATATATTTTTAAATATCTATAATAAGAAGTTGGAGAGGGGAGGGCAGTGGAGGAGAGATAAGACGGCTTGGTAGTTAACTTTTCCTGAGTTCACAACCTGCTTTTGCCACTTGACAGCCATGCACATTGGGCGAGTTTTATAACCTCTCAGTTTCCTCAGCAGCGAAGTGGAGATGATTATTAGCTCTTCTTGTGAGGAGCATTGTGAGGATTCATCCAGGTAAGTGTGCAAAGCACTTAATACACTGCTGGCACATAATCGATGTTCAATTAAATTCTCATTATTATGTAACTGGTAGGAACAGAGTAACCTGCCCACGGATTGTATTGACATTTATACATCTAGACAAGGTTCTAAACTATACATGTCCTCCGGTACAATTCAGTCCAACCAATGTCCACGAGCACCCAGAAACACACAGGTGGATAGGACATGCTCTACCCTCAAACTGCTCCAAAGCTACTAAGGCAGGTAAAGAGCCAACCAAGTAACCAAAACACAAAGTGATAGTATTGTACCAGAGAACAATAGTATTCAGAAAGGTCAAAGGCCAAAAGGTCTTCAAAAAGAGCTTTTCAAAACAGAGATTCTTTTCTATCTCTATTGAATTCGAAAAAAATTTTTTTTAAAAAAAGAGGTGGTAACTAGCATTGGAAACAGTGAAGAGAAATAGAAACTCATATCCATTGGGGATGGGTAAATTAGTATTACTTTTCTGGAGGACAATTTAGCACTATGTGTGCTAAAAGCTAAAAGCTTAAAATTGTACATGCACTCAAATCCAGTAATTTCATTTCTAGTAAGTTTGCCTAAGGAAATAATTTAACATACATAAAAAGACTTCGCTACAAAATTTCTCCACGTGACGTTGGTTATAAAAAATTAGAAATTACTTAAATATCTAACAATAGAGAATTGATTAAATATAGGGAATACTTCCATGCAATAAAATGCTATTCAGCCATAAAAAATGATTTTCAAACATTTCAAAATATTCCTCAGTAAGAGAAGCAGGCTACAGAATAGTGATGTAGTGGGATCTGAGTGTTTGCGTCTGTTTGTGATAAGTATAAAAATATCCATACAGATAAATAGTCAAAAAAGTTGGGTAAGTAAGTAGGTAGAGAGTTGCCCACAATGGTTAGAAGAAGACTTTTTCCTTAATTTTGTTTATTTGCACATTCTTATTTTTCTATCTGAATATTCTGTTGATTGCAACAAGAAAAAAGGAATAGCTCAAAATTTAAAAAAAACAACAACAAAAATTTGGCAACCAAATTTCCAGATTTTTCCTATCTTTTATCCCAATACCTGGCTCCCTCCTTTCACACTTAGAAGGAACCAGAAACAATCATTTATGACTTCTCAAGCACAGGATTGTATATTAATCTGTTTGGTAATCCTGGAATCTAACACAGAATACAATGGATATTCAACAAATGTTGAAAGATGGACCAATCTTAGGTCAGCCTATAAACAAACAAACTAAACAATCAATTTCTAGTGGAAAATTTTAACCATCTTCTTTTTTACTATAAAAACAGATTTAAATCATTTTTAAAATCCCATACATGGGCTTTCTTCATGGGCAGATTCAAGAGGCATTCATTCTGCAGTTGATCTGTTCTGATGATGGAAATTGAAAAATAAACTAAATCTCGTAGAGATTCAACATCTGAAGATGACAATATCTCTGCCTCAGGGCTATTGTAAAAACTAAGTTGAGTAACGTAAGAAAAGGCACACACAGGGCTTGGCACATAGTATACAATTTTTACTCTTCTTCTGCTCCTTCCCACTATCACTTATGATTTAACACATGATTCTTTATTTCCACATAACAGAGGAAGTCCTGATTCCATTGAAACCCTGCCTGGCCCTCCTAACCTTCTGGCAGGCTGAGCCCAGGCTCTCTTCTGCTAGGGTTCACTCCACATGCTGGCATCAGCTGGCAAAGGAATTCCACTGGGTAGAGCCCCTGTGGAGGACCCCTTGCGGTAGAGACATTCTCAGGCCAACCAGACGCCAAGCTCAAGGCTCTGGGACAGGGTCCACAGTCCCTCCTACTCCCACCTAATAATCTTCATCAGCTGGGGCTCATGAACCAAATCGAGCTTGAGCCTGAAGAACCATTTACTTAGTCTGCATAGTTTTAAAAACTTGAATCATGACAGTTCACATCAAGCCTGGATTTTCCTGTTTCTATTTAAAAAGCAGGAAGTCTGGCAACACAGATCTGAAACACCTTCATGGCAACAGCTGGCTAGAGCCTAGTAGCACGTGACCACTTTAAATGCCACAGACCCCCTCAGGCTTGCTGCTTTCATCTATTTTAACCGCGTAGACCCTAACAGGCGTTTGAGTGAGTGATCTGCATGGAGCGACTCAGGAATCAGAGAAATGCTCACAAAACCATCCACCCAATATTGAAGGCTGCTTCAAAGACGAAGGCCACTCCTGTTCCATCCATAATCCAACAGATATTTATTAAACATTTTGTGTTTGGCACCGGTGCACAACGCTGAAGGTTCAAAGATAACGTATTATCACTAACCTCAAGGAGCTCACATTTTGACAAGGAAGATAGACACACAGATCTCTAAGGTATAGTGTGATGAGTACGAAAGAGGTAATACAGGAATAACACAGAGCGGAGAATCAACTCTGCCTGCCAGCAAAGACTCACTGAGAAGGCGGGAATTATGGTGAGTTTTTAATGAGTAATAAATGATTTTTTAAAACATCAATTAATAACTTCTAGAAAATGAAAATTGTGTAAGCAAGTAATTATGTTATAATGTTCTGTGACATAATTATAGTACATTATTTGTTTCAGCAGTGGACAATATTTATATGGTAATGATAATGTAAATACTGATAATTTAACAAAATGTGTCGTAAAATCAGGACCAGTAATTAGCCAACACAGACCATGTGGGGAAAGTGGTTGTGATTAATCATAATTTGTGCTGTGCTAGTTCTTAAGTGTTTTGAGTATCACCCCTATAGTAACTATACTAGAATTAGAAGAGAATCTCAATAGGTCAAAGTCTAAACTTGACAAGTCAAGAAACAACATTATAAGCATACTGTTTAGCAATACAGAGATAAACACAGAAGAGGCACCTGAAGGAGTCAAAAGTGGTTGATTCTAGGGCGGTGAAGAGGCAGGAAGGCAGGTACAAAGATCTGCTATTCATCATTATAAACTTTTTAGTACTATTCGATTTTTTAAAATTTGTGTATATTTATTACTTTATTAAAAACAGAATTAATTTTTAAGAAAAGGATAAATAAAATTGTAATGAACCAGGTCATTCTAAATAAAAGGGACAACTTATAAAAAGACATGGCATGAATAACTTGTCTAGTTCGCTTGGAGGGTGATTGGGGCTTGTGATGGAAGAGGAGACTGGAGGGCTGGTAGGTCACAAATGGCCTAAGAGCCATGTTAGTTACTTTGAGTTCTGTTATGTCGCTAAAATGGGGTCATTGAAAAGTTTTAAGTGAGAAGCAACATGATCATCTTCTTTTCTTTCAGTTTGAAAAGTTTGCTTTAATACAAATACAGGTGATTTCAGACATACCTAAATGAGGTGGTAGCACACAAATCTGTATGGAGAAGAAGAAATTAATGCGAGAGATATTCACAAAGTGAAATACAAAAAAAGACTTGGTGACTAATGGGCTAGAGTGGGAGATAAGGAAAAGGGAGTCTAGGATGACTCCGGAGTTTGTAACTAGAGTGAATGTCTGGATTGTGGTACCAATCACAAATATAAGGTATACAAGAAGACAAACAGGTTGAGGATTACCGTAGACTGAATTTCTTGTTGAAACCTAATCCCTAATGGGATGTGACGGGCCTTTGGGAGGTGATTAGGCTGTGAGGGTGGAGACCTCGTGTACGGGATCAAAACCCTTGTAAAAGACACCTCACAGAGCTCCCTTGCCCCTTCTGCCATGTGAGGACACAGCAGAAAGATGGCTGTCTATGAACCAGGAAGCAGGCTCTCACCAGACATTGAA